TGATGTGAGTATTTCCCTTCATGCTAATCGTAAGCATATTTGGTATATTGATTGAAAGGCGGACAAACACTGCCACTATCTAACTAAGCAAAGATGTTGCTATGAGAAGCAAAGCTGTTGCAATGTATCTTTATTAGATTACATGTATAATGCTACTATTTGTTAAACAGTCTCCATTTTCTCAGCTGGCCCAATACTTTTGCTGATCAGAATTTTGGTACGAAGAATAACATCACTAATTTACTAGCTCTAAGAAAATCACATGCTTGATTTCCTGAATATGTCCCTATGTGCTGCCAACCCGTATATGTTGTTTGGTAATGTCTTATTTTCTTTGGATCCCATGGGCATATTTCAGTAGTATCCATTCAAGCACTGACCTGTACTACTATGCTGCTTCTCCATCACTTCTGGTTCGTGAAGGTCGACGGCTCTGCCGACGTGAGGGATCTCAGGTCGCCGTCGCCCTTTGGGAGCTCCCTCTCCTTCCTGCCTTCTTACCGTGGTGCCAGGGATCAACGTCCAGACGCCAACACGATAGAGCTATTGTGCTGCTGCCTCAGGTTGTCCAGGCGCGTCATCGGTCCCAGCTACCCATCATCAAGATCCGACGTCCTTTGTCCTTTTTTCCGATTGATGTGAGTAAGCCTCCACTACCCGCTTCCAACTCTGTAAAATTTGCTGTTGTAGTTGGCATGAGAGGCGCCTTGATGCAAAGCTACAGGTTTACGTGGGTGTTGCTGGCTGCTTCCCTCTTGCCCCCTGGCCAGCAGGGTCCTCCATGACCAGGGCCCCCAAGCTAAGGAGTAACATGCTGCAGCTTCTGCCCACCACCATGTATGAGACATCGAAATCTAGGAAGCTGCAGGTTTGTGAGACACTCATGCTCACCATGTGTTCTCTGAAATGCTCCCATGTAGATATATATAAATTGATGTTTATATATTATAAGCATTTGTAAAATGTTCATGTACAATGTAGTATGCAACAATAAATCACATCTCCCAGCAATGGCTACTTACCATTACTCTTATCACCTTAGACTAAGTAGTAGTATGAATTAGATGACTCGGCACTTATGTTTTCGTAGTAGGTTTTGTGTCCTTCGCGTACTTACAGTTCAGAGATAAATTTGGTACATGGCTGATTGACTTTGTTCGTGTGGATTACCAGTTTAGCAGCAATGATGGACTTTGTTTATGTGGAGTACCAATTTAGCAGCAACTCTGTTGTAACTTTGGCAACACAACCAACATCAAGTGTCACACTGGTAGTCTAGGGTCCATCATGTACGTGTAGTTCATCGTCCATTTCTGAATCACCAAGGATTGATTTTATTGACACAATATTCTCTACATGTTGTTTTCTATTAGGTAAAAACAATTATTGGCTCCTCATGTAATCTACAATAAGTATCCCTTTTGACACTCATTTAAGTAGAATTTTTTATTATTATTGTGGAAGCAGAAACACACTTCAGAAGGATTTCATGTAGTATGTACTTTGAGTTTTCAGAGTCTATTATTGACATGGATTTTCCTTCTGCTAGAGAGGCTGGTGCCAAATCTACATCAGAACAACGGCAAGTTAACAAACGAGGAAGCTGGAGTTGTACTGTGACTATTGTTAGATCTGTTTTTGCACTTCTGAATTTTACTTGAAATGAATCTCGAAGGTACAACTCCTGCAGAGTGCTAGCGCCCACCTACAGATGACAAGATTTTCTTCTTCTGAATGTAATGAGGCATGATCCACAAACTCTTCATAGAACTTTGAAGCAAAATATTGATCCCCTGCATGCATATATGATTGCGAACCAATTATTTTTCAATCCGTTCCTTTTTACCATAATATTTTTCTGGGTGATGTAACATAAGTATATTATTGGTACAATTAAGTGATATCATTAGTACTTCCTCCGTCCAAGAAAGCTTGTCCCTCAAATGGATGTATCTAGCACTAACTTGGTGCTAGATACATCCATTTGAGGGACACACTTTTTCGGACGGAGGGAGTACTTGATTTATCTGGGCATAAAAATGTCTGGGATAATAGCTCTAGCACTCATGCCGACAATTTGAAAATGGTAGGACTACCTTTACCTTTACCCATATAGAAGTGATAATCCCCTCCCCCCTACATATATAGCGTTTTTTTTCCCGTTGCAACGCACGGGCATTTTTGCTAGTAAAGATAAAAAGGTAAAGATAAAGATTCTACCGGTTCATATACTTAAGCAGTTTGGAGGATCAACAAGAAGAATTGGGTACCCAAGGAAAGGAGGCGAAAAAGAATTAACCCAACAAGGAAACGAAGGAACACCGAGAATGGATCGAAAGGAGCAACTATCCCTGATTTTAGGTCGGATCAGGATCCGGCGAGGCGAGCTGGCGACGGTAGCATCAGCAGCGCGCCGGGCCATGGCCCATGACAGCACCACCTAAGACTGTGGCGGTCGGGAGCACCAGGCCTCCGCCCACTGCAGCGCAGATCCCTCTTCTCCTCCGCCTCTACTGCTCAGCCACACCACCACCTCCTTCTCTCCCGTGGTGGGTTTCCTTTGGGTACGCAACGTTAGGCAAGGCGGCGTGGCAGGCTGGTTGCAGCGGCGCGGCGACTTTCCCCGCTGGCTGATCTGGGGCGGCGCCGAAGGAGAATCCAAAAGCAGCTCGCGGCTGCTCTACGGCTGGCCGGGGGGAGAGCTTGGCAAGATATACCGAGGGGCTCTACTGCCTCGAGCATGGCATACAACCCGATGGCATCATGCCCAGTTAGCTTCTTTTATCTTTCAATTCTTGCATTTGTTCGTCTTTTAGTTTCAGAGCTTACAAAATCTTAGATGTTGCTTACAAAAATTGTGATACAATATTTTGATTGCGGACTGCATATATTCAGCAAGTAGATGCATTCCTATGCATGCATATTATTCTGCAAGTAGATGCCTTCCTGACTGAATTGTATGCCATGATCGAAGTTCAGTGCTATTGAAACAGAAGGCCAGATGATGATTGATTTGGTATTGCCAATCTCCCATTTAATCTCAGAATCTAGCCGGTTACTCGCCATGCATTATTTTTTCCAGTGTTCAAATATATCCGTCAATCTTATAAAGGACCAAAATATACGACTCAGTAAGTATGCTCTAATAATATCAGTTAGGAAAAATGCTTGAAACAATTGCACCATGAATACTTGAAATAACTGACAGCAGTATCTTGAATACATATGTTGTGTGAAATAGATGATTTTGTGCCAGCTAAAGTATTGACTTATGATGATTTAGCTTAGCTTCACCAGTAAGTTGTTCTTAATGCGTAAGAG